ATCGAAAGTTTCGAGAACAAAATCCCAAAATTCCGTAGCTCAAAACTGCCATTTTAATTTATGTGTTAAATTGAAGAGTGAATGATATACTTTCTTTAAATTAATTCTAATTGCATAATTACACCCAATCATCAAGAAACTGTCATGTCTAATCGAACACATGGTGATTCGAACGACGCGAGTAACTAAACAAACAATTCAAGACAATTAAACAGAGTTGTTTGGCAAAGTTTTTCAGGATCGATCAAGGTTTTAGTGAATTCTTCTTGAGAAGTAATCAGTGACTCTCATCGGAGCGTGTCAGCTTTAGATAGAGACAATTGACTCGTGGGTGCCACGCGACCTCTTTATTGGCTATAAATACCTCAGCCATGCGCGGTCAGCGATTCTAAATGAAAAGTAATCACTGACTATCACGACTGAAGATTGAAGTCTTCACGATTTCTGTACAGAAGCTTTCTTCACAGAGCAGTGTTAGGTAAGTAGCTTAATTAATATTATCTCGATACATTTGTATATGGCTGTAATCTGCTGTATCCAGGAAAAGCCCAAGTCTTTTTTTTTTTTTTTTTTTTTTTTTTTTTTTGGTTTAACTTTTTATTTTAATTGTGAATTTACAACAAAAATTAAAAGTTTTTATTCCTTGAAAAGACTACCTTTAATTTTATGGTTAAGTAAATATCTTGAAAAGGAATGTGGTTCCAGAAAACGAAATGTTATACAATTCAATACAGGTTTTTAAAAGTGTTATTCTTGTATCATGTACATATTTGCATGAGAAATATCCAAGACATTAAAAAAATATACACTGGAAATTTATATTTTTTTAAAAACTCATTATACATGTACCAATATTTCAGTAAATCAATATACTTATAATTATATATCTTATTAACACAATCATTTATATGTTTTTACATACTATCTTAATTTAAATTAACTGGGTGTTTTACTAACTAGTATGGAATTTACTTGTATGCTTTCTTGATTAAAAAAAAAGAAAGAAAGGAAAGCTTCCACTATCTACTCTTGCACTGCAGATCTGCAGATCATAATTTTGATTTTCAAGGTCGCTCATCCGTTTATTCTCGACCGCTAGGAAGCTAGTTTCTAATCTCTGGGGAAGGATTTTACAACAGGACCTTACGGTCATAAGACACATTCCTCGAATATCTGTTTTTGCATGTAGGAAGCAATTTCAGTTGGGGGGGGGGGGGGCACAGCCATACATTTTCAGTTGGGGCCACGATATCAACTACCAAAAATTCCTTGACAAGCCAAAAAAAAGTTCATCAGACATTTTTATTGAGGGGGCACAAGCTAGAAGTAGCTAAATTTTCTATAAGTCATTTATTGGCAAAATTATTCGGGGGGCACGCCCCCCCCCCCCGGTTCCTACGGCCATGCCTTTGTAATATACCAAAGATATTTAAAATTATCATCATATTTTGATTTCTAAACTTTTTTCAAAATGTCTGAAAATTATATAGACAAAAAAATAGTGATAGCAGCAAGTGATCTCTATAGTAGGATTATGTAGGAAATGCCATCCGCAGGAATTTTGCACAAATGCCTGGTAATGTACTTCGGTATTTTGTGAGGGAATTCGAACTTCTTAAAGTAGCAATATTTAAATCACAAAATATTGGGAAAAGTTCTATATTTTGATGAACGTGTCGTCCGACCTTAACTTCGTTTGAGGCTTTGATTGCACTAAACCTACAAATGCTCTGAACTGTATAACTCTATACATTTGCTGGAATTGAGATCTCGAGGTCTATATGATACGCAGGTTTTACCAAATTGATTCAGTTAAGAATCAACGTACTTAGCTCAACATATGTGTCATTAGACATGAGATACCGAAAAAATGTTATATTTGTAAGACAGGTTATACATGCTTTGTTTGTTTGTATGTTGTTTAACGTCCCTCTCGAGAATTTTTCACTCATATGGAGACGCCACCACTTGCCGGTGGAGAGCTGCAAATTTTGTCCTATACTCGGCACTTACGGTCATTGAGCAGTGAGGGATCTTTTCGTGCCAGCACCTACTGCGACACGGGACCTCGGTTTATACGGTCTCATCCGAAGGACCGGTCTCCACGTCCCACAGTGTTATTCGAACCCGCGACGTAAGGATCAACTCCTTACTTCGCGACTCTAGAGCAGACGCTCTAACCACTGCGCCACGCGGGCGACTTATACATGCTTTGTATTGCTGAAATACATATTTATCAGTAAGTTTTTCTACAAAGCCATCTTTATTTTTGCACTTTCTTCAAAATCTATACTTTTAAATCATATATATGTAATCCAATGCTAAAAAATGAAATCCCCCAATGCTGTTCTTATAGATTTTCTGGATTTTGATGTGATTGAATTACATTTCAGTGTGATCACGTGATGATAAATGTAGTGTATATTTACAGGAAAAAGGCCCACTTCATATGCATGTTACCTGAAGTATTTTTCAAAGGCGGAACCAGCGCCGGCGCACCGGGCGTGCGCCCCCCCCCCCCCATTTGAATTTTTTGTATGTAGAACTTATATGTCCTTTATCCTAAAATCAAGGGAAAAACACCTTTTATTTGTAAGAATTCGTCAGCTTCCGGGGGCTTCGCCCCGAGACCCCTACCAGGGCTCTGCCCTGGACCCACTTAGGCCTTCAATGCAGCACCCAGACCCCCATGCCTTCTACTCCCCTTCTCCCCGTTATGAAATTCCTGGATCCGCCACTGTTATTCTATACATCCTTAAATCTAGGATACGGATGGTTTTATATAGAAAACTCCGTGATAAATAGGTGTTTTAGTAATAATAATATGCACGTTCAAACATTTCTAAACAAATTCGATATTTTTCCCTTACTCTATATAGAGTGGATAGAAAATTTCTTAATGTTTCTTTTAGGTAATTTTTCGAATTGAGGGTATGCACATGATAATTTATGAGGAAAAAAAGTCGAAATGGTCCTGGGGTCTATATCGTGGGTGGGGTGGCGGTGGGGATCCTGTTCTCAAGCACCTGTGATTAAGACTAGCGGACTTAAATATTATAATTTGACATAATATTTCAATGTAAATGTTACACTTTACTATGTAATGTCTATCCAGTTGTAGTTAGTCGATCAACTAGTGGACATTTAAACTATAAATATTTTGTACACATACTTCCTGCAGATCACAAATACGCCCATCTTTTGATTTGGATGCTGCTCCCCCAACCATTTTTTGTTGCTGTACGGTCCAACATACGCAAATCCCAGCATTTGAAAGAAAAAAATGAATATAAGTTAGAGAAAGACCCCTTCCCTACGAAATAGGATTTTAAAGTTGACAGTTTATGTTTGTTCGTTTGTTATTCTTTGCTTGTCAACTTTTTTCGGAGGTTGCATTCCTCACCAAACTTTGAAGACCTGTTTGACATCATATGCACTTTTTTGTGTAATCATCGATGTCGGAGAACAAAAACTTAAACTCCTCCCCCAAATTTAAATTTAATCTTTTATCAGTCATAAATATTTTGATCTATAGCCTCTTAGACCGCTAATGTGGCTTAATCTTATAGGTACATGTATCATAATTCGAACACACTCATATGAGTATATTTAAATACTTTTCAATGAAGAAATTCTGGTTGTGTTGAGCAGAAATGTTTTGATGATTTTCCTGTAAACAGTTTAAGTATGTACATCTTTTGACTTCTGTATATTGTGGCTCTACAGATCTGGCTTCAGGGCCATAAAACTTAGACAAGCTCACTTTTGATCTCGGTCTCACTTTTCCACTATATATTCTATATATTCCTTTTGTAAAAGTGAGACTAAGATCAAAATTAAGTGAGCTCGTCTAAGTTTTATGGCCTCGGAGCCCGGTCTTATATAGTGAAACTTCCCCAATGGTCAGACTTACCCTGAAAACTGGCTATATAGTGAATCTTTCTCGATCCGGAAGATTGCATGGCTAAATACATGTAGTGAGTTCCTCCTCCATACCCCCCTCCAAAAGGCTGGCAATATAATGAGCCTTCTCTCGGGGAAGTCTCACTATATAGTCCTTCTTCTGGCAGTGGTGGGGAGGAGACCCACTAGCTATATAGCCAGTCTCCCCTCTGTTTTATAACGAGGATTCCCCCTCCAATTTAGTTTCTGAAAAAAGGTTCTTTTTGGTATATTGTATTTATGAAAACAGTTTATTCTTCTGTACTGTCGTTCTTTTAGTTTACAGAGGAGGTCTCGCTGGGGAATAGTCCTAGAAAGGGAATAAAATAACAAGCATTAATTATCGCTTTTTATGCAGTTTATCTTTATTTTAAAATTACGCGCAAAATTAATATGATAGTGTTATGTTTTTCTACAGAATTCAATTTTCTACCGCTGGAATTAACAAAGTTCAATTATTATAAGCACTCTTCCCACCCCACCCCCAGGGGGTGGACTCACTATGGGGAAAGTCTCGTTATATATATATATATATATGACACCGCGGCCCAGACTTAATCTATTTGGGTCCATGATGCATCGTGAACTAATAGTATGTGACGAAACGAAGCCTCACAGATCTAGATTATTTATAGATCAAACTTTTATCTTCTTCAACAATTCCCTCCGAGAAATTCAAGAGTATTCAGTTTAACAAAATGACATCCCCTGCACCTATTTATTTATTTATATATAAAATGCATGTCATCGTTTATAATAGCAATTACACTGTATATGCAAATGACCCATTAGTAGATACTTATATCTTCTTATTGCATGCATTTATTTTCGAATAAAAGATTAAGAAGGAAATTAGGAAACGTAATAAAAAAAAAAAGAGTTTTTAATGGTTAATTCGCACTTATTCGATTTTGAATACTAGTACTAAATAGTAATATTACAAGAAAATTCTTCTTCGAAACATATTATGCTACATATGTTCACATATACAAAAATCTGAAATTCTTTTCTGTTTTCAGATTGTATAATACAACTCAGCTTTCAAATGTATAAAATTGAAACACAAGGTGCTATTGTTCTGTGCCAGTTTTAGTGCAAATTGGACTAAATATGCTAGCCATGCAAACTGTGATGCAGTCGGAGATTACCAAAACACCCGCAAACGTTCCAGTTCCTTTGGCCCTTGAACACATCGACAATTTTTGTCATTCACAAACGGCAGACAAACAAGCTCAGCCTACCAGGATACCGGAAACGGAAGTAAACAATAACAAACCCGACGAGCCTTCAAAAAAGGACTCATTTCTGTACCCTGGGAATTATTTTCCACACATGGGATTATATAGTGCTCAAAACTCTTATAAATGTATACCATTAGACAATGATTCAAATGCCTCAAATACAGTTATAGAACAGAAAACCTGCACACCGTCCATATCTAAAGACTCATTCGAACACGTGCTGAACGTTTTGGCGAGCAAATTCACCGGATATAGCGGGACTTCTTCTCAGCACAAGACAACAGCAGAGAAAGTCACTGTAAATTCTAATTCACTACAACCACCAAGCCACACACATGATGTGATACAACCCTGCAAGAAGAGGCGTCTCTCCGGTACTCAAAATCAAAGGATTGATATAACTCATAATCAGATGGTCCCTGTGGTGAAAAGTGTGCAATCTGATATGACAGACTCTTCTCTGAGTAAAGCATCAGGGCCAGAAACACAACAGAAAACACCCGAAACACCACCAAACCCTGGACAGTTTTATTATAACTCTCCACAGTATTTACCGTTTTACCCCCAACCGATGTGTGGGATATTTGTTCCTGATTCTCAGCAGGTGCCACAAGCAAATGACACAACCCATCTTATCCCTAGTCGTCAGAGTCCGATCATGTCAACGTACCAAACCCCAAAGAGTAGGACAAAGAAAGTCTGTCAAAGACGATTAACTTCGCCAGCAGAATCCGACAAATCATCTGACATATCACGTGACGAAGGTAATTCCTGATATATGCGCGACAATTTCATGCTATGCTAGAAGTTGTTCTTTTTTATCAATGTTCGTCATCCCTTTGTTCACTCGTATAAAATTTTGCTTTCAAGATTGAGATTCTCCGAAAGAAATCTAAATTTTAATTGAAATGCAATCAATTTCAGCATACCATGCGGTGCAAAATTTGGCGGAAATATATTTCTGCCTTTTGACAGTTTTTAAACGACTAATAGTCTTTTTTTTATGAGATCGATCGTTGTTCGTTATCTTCACCTTTTTCATTACACCGAGTGAGAGTTATCTCTCTTATCGGGTATTCAATGAACCTTAACATTTATCTCTTTGGTTGAGTTAGACAACTTTTTTTGATAAACTTTCAGATTCTGAGGCTGACATCTCAGTGGTTGACGCCAGGGGCGATGCCAAAGACAAGAGCATTGCGGGCGATACGTCTAAAGACAGTGACATTTCTATGGTGTCTGTGAAATCTAACAAATCAACTTCTCCTTCTAGCAGTAGCACAGGATCACCGTCAACAGTTAGTCCAGACGAGGTTAGCCGCAAAAAGGCAAGGACCAACTACACACCGCAACAAGTCCAAACCCTGGAAAAGGTAAATATTTCAGAATCCATAATAGTGAACAGGGCCGTAATTTTGTCAACACAATACATGCATATATATATATATATATATATATATATATATATATATATATATATATATATATATATATATATATATATATATATATATATATATATATATATATATAAATGATATTTCTACGTTTTATATTGACTATAGAAAATGAGAGCTTATAAGGTTGTTTCCGCTCGATTAAACGTCTTTCCATTTACATGTCGACGATTTTGTTTAAATTTTTCCTCGATTGTTGAAATTGCTTCCTGTGGGCCTACCAAACACACAGGAAGAAAATGCTCGTTTTGATATCGGAAGTCCTATTTCAAAAAACTCTTTTATTTGTATTTATTGTAACAATTTTAATGTGGACAAGTACACCATCATTTTACTGTCAGTTCTCTACCCCTCCTTATTTGCTGAGGGAGAAGTGGAAGAAGATTTGGAATAATTTTAATCTTTATATTTTAAACAAATACAAAAGTTCTATATGAAAAAGTGTTGAATTTTTAATGGTTTTAGGTCATTGTACTGATCTTTAAATCATATTTTAGGTTTTTCATGAAAACCCATACCCGGATGCTGAAAAAATGGAGGAACTGTCCAAAGAACTTGAAATTCCGGAAAGTAAATTAAAAGTGAGTATTAGTTTTTCTAGAATTTTGAGGATGTATCAAAGAATTAGAATTTTCGAACATGGAAAACATTTTTTTTACTTCGTGCAAGTTTACATAAAGTAAAAATACGTTTAGTTCTTCCTGATAAAATTGACTAAAATTTTACAGAAAAGTGTTCGAATGATGTTATCTTCCTGTTATTTACAGGTTTGGTTTCAAAACAAACGAGCACGTTGGCGCCGGAGAATGAATGACAATGCCCATCAAGTACCCCGCTTGATGGGGCCATCCACAATGATGTCCCCCATGTCACCTTATGGGTTCATAGGTCACATGATGCCTCCTCCAATGTCCCCGGCACAAGTCGTCCCGGGTCACTTTGTTCGCCCTGGTCCATCTTCATCACCACCTTCCACGTCACCGGGCAATAAACAGACGTCACAGGTGACGCCACCCTACCAGTCACGTGGTCACTTTCCGCCATACATACCAATTTATCCATATGGAATGTTCTCGCCATATTACTACAGCTGATCCCGAGTTTTTAGACACTATAGAAAAAGACAAGGTGCTTTTACGTTATAAATGTGTTGATTTGAATATGTGAATAAAATTGAGGCAAACTTTACATATCTTCCATTTATTGTTTGTAAATATGTAAAGATGTAAGATATCGACTCAATCTATTCCAAGCTATTGCTTTGAATATTGTTATTTTATTGTAAATTTTATATACTGTATACATTTTCACTTGATATCTTCATAAATGGGTATATTATATATATTTTTATAACTGATTGTACATATATACAGTGTACATTGTAATAAATGAAACGTGTACATTTTGTGGGAATGGTTGTTTTTCTTTTTCATGATTGTCGTCTTGTGAAGGAACAGTTTTATTTAAAAAAAAAAAATATACGTAAATATTCATAATGCTGGCAATGTTTTAAGTTAAAATTTAATTGTGTTTTCTCCTTATATGTATATTTTTGCCTTACGTAAGATTCTAAGATATCCTTCGTTCTATCAATTTTGTTTATTTACCTTCTTCCTGGCTGCTGATTAGTTGAAAACAAAACATATGTAAATGACAACGGGTAACTAGATATTAAGCAGGGTCATTGCAAGAAATCTATATTATAGTGTCAAATAAAAAAAATTAGAATTTTCCAATTTAAATTTTTATATGCCATTTCACAAATTTAAATTGAAAAATTCTTGAAAAACAAGACGTGTTTGTGAAACACTGATGCCCCCATATGGCAACTTATAGCAAAGATTAAACTTTCTCAACTGCAAATCAAATATGTTGGTACCCAAAGAAAGGTCTTGTCCCGAGGAATATACCTGTGAAATATGAAAGCCCTAGCAGCAGCCATTTAAAAGATATGGAAAAAAAAGTTTTTTAAAAGTAAGTCAAACATCAAGGTCAAAATTAATGGTACCCAAGGAAAGGCCTTCTCACAAGAAATACACATGTGAAATATGAAAACCCTAGCACCAACCGTTCAAAAGATATGGTCAAGGTTAAAGTTTTTCAAAAGTAGGTCAAACCCCAAGGTCAAAAGGTCAAAGTTGTTGGTATCCAAAGTAAGGTCTTGTCACAAGGATTACACATGTGAAGAATGAAAGCCATAGAACCAACTGTTCAAAAGTTATGGCCAAGGTTAAAGTTTTCAAAAAGTAGGTCAAACTCCAAGGTCAAGGTCAAAGGGTCAAAATTGTTTGTATCCAAAGGAAGGTCTTGTCACACATGTGAAGAATGAAAGCCATAGAACCAACTGTTCAAAAGTTATGGCCAAGGTTAAAATTTCAAAAAGTAGGTCAAACTCCAAGGTCAAGGTCAAAGGGTCAAAATTGTTTGTATCCAAAGGAAGGTCTTGTCACAAGGATTACACATATGTATGAAAGCCTTATCACTAACTGTTCAAAAGTTATGACCAAGGTTAATGTTCGTTAAAATTTTGCAAAACTGGGTCAAACTCCAAGGTCAAGGTCAACAGGTCAAATATGGTGGTACCCAAAGAAAGGTCTTGTCAAGGAATAAGGAATACACATGAGAAATATGAAAGCCATAGCTCCAACCAATCAAAAGTTATAGGCAAGGTTAAAGTTTTTGCGGACAAACAGACAAACAAACAGACAGACAGCTAGACGGACGGACAGGGCAAAAACTATACCCCCGACACGAGCAATTAAAAAAATTACACAGTTTTATCAATATAACTGTATTTTTTGTATTAAAAAGTTGATCAATAAATTATCAATTGGATGTAAATAGTTTTATATTTACAGGCAATTTATACATACGTTTATATAAATTATATATATATATATATATATATATATATATATATATATATATATATATATATATATATATATATATATATATATATATATATATAACAGTATTATTTGAAAGTGATGATAAATCAAAGCCTAGCTTGTTCTGATATTTGATCATAAACACAATGTAGCGTCAATTTTGATCTGATCCTCGGAATTGTGTTTAGGTGTTTGATGAAACTAGAAAGTGTGCAATCTATTCACAGGTACCATATATTCCTAAGATAATGCTTCCTTCCGTAGGCATATGCTTTCTGGTGAAATATATATCCATGAATTGAGAAATTTGACAAAAACATACATCGACCCCCTTTCTATCGCTTCTAAAGCATACATACCCGTATGTTGGGATTTATATAAACGGTGCTAAAGAGTTCTGATTTTGTGGAATTTTAATGCAGATAGAGTAATCTGTCCTGTGATATAAAATAAAATAAATTGAAATGTACAGTTTATTATTTCATTTGTGATCAAATCAAGCATTCGTTACATTTTTAAAATATGCCAAGATGAATAGATCGAACACTTCATTTGCAGGTATTTTGCCCACTTAAGTAAACAACGGTGATTTCTGTTCATCAGTACTTCATTGTCTTTGAACATTTTTCCAGTGGTAAATGAAAGGTATCCTATGTAGAAAATATAATAGATAAGCTCAATATTTACACCTTTACACACAGTGATTTAATTTCTCAATGTCCAAAAAATCTTTTCCTCTAGTGTATAGAGGGTCCTTACGGCACACATCAGTTGTTGACTCCCAAAAATGTTTGGGCATCAGGCTAAGCCCAAAAATGCACTTTCCATCAAAAGTCACTGAATATCCACTGTTAAAATTGCTTCAGAATTACCAGAGGAAAAAACAGTTCTTTAGAGCAAATGAAATGGATCCAGTCAGAGGAAAGTATTACATCTTCATTAGTTTTATTCCATATAAATTGAGTTGGTAACTCAATATTACAAGAAACGCTTGTCGTCTTGATTTTATGTTTATTTTTTCTTTCCTTTTTTTTTTTTTTTTTTTTTTTTTTTTTGGTAGATTTCTTATACACTTTTACTTTATGTGAATATGCTGCATCATCATTATATATATTGTTGAGTTCCAATTGAGTTTAAATAAGCACCATCAACCACCAAAAATCCTTGACAATTAAGCAAAAAAAAAAAAAAGGGGGCATCAGACATTATTATTGAGGAGGCACAAGCATATAGCAGCTATGTTTTCTATAGTATTCTGTATATCGGCAAAATTATTGGGGGGGGGGGGCACGGCCCCCTGTGCACCTCCCGGTTCCTACGGCCACGAATTAGACTTGTATTTTCACTCCTCTACTGTACGCTTCATATAATAGAGGAGCGAAAATAAAAGTCTTATTTTAATTAGATTGGAGTTTCATTTGGGCAAAATATATGTCACAGTAATGTGTTTGTATTTAATTTATGCCTCTGAGTTCATTTATCTATGAAAAATCCAAGAGATGATTATTGTCTGTTTATAGGCTAATATAAGTTTTGTGAATAAAATCAGTTAAAAATAATGTTAGATATACTACAGTCAAATCTCGTTATCTCGAACTCATGAGGGCCAAGGAAAAAAACTTGGAGACATTCAAGTATTCGAGATACTGAGAAAAAAATACGTAGAAAAAAAGAAGTCTAATGAGACTTTCAACTCACTTCGAATTCGACATGTCCATGGTATTCGAGATATCGGAGTTCGATTGGTCGAGTTTTGAAAGTATAAATTTTTTTATTGTTTGGAATTTAGTGTTTTAAGCAATATATATGCATTGTTATTACATATAAAATTTTAACTGTTATGTGTTTTATGGGCAACAACAGTAAGAGTAAAATCCAACATGGTAATGACTTCGAGTTCGGCTCTTCTGTTTTCATGGTTTACCTTTCACCAATATGAAAAGCGCTTGTCTAACCTTTCAAGCGTTTGGATGACTACGGCGCAAAAAGCACATTTTATGTAATTCAAGTACAACCATGTTGACCACACTATTGCCGCTGTCCACGGCCCTTCGCCACTTCTCAACAAGACAGGTTGCGTTGAATAACTCTTTGATAACAAAAGTATGTGCCTGTAACGCAATATGCGCGACCAGTTCCTTTTCGACGTCCCGAAATCGTTGTGCCGGGCCTCCGGTTCAGTCGACCGGTGGAAAGAAAGTTTATGTCCGAGATAAACCTGTGATGAACATTGGAACAATTGGACACGTGGATCATGGAAAAACAACCCTCACAGCGGCTATAACCAAGATTCTCTCTCAGAGCAATCAGACTGAAATGAAGACATACGATCAAATCGACTCTACCCCAGAGGAAAAGAAGAGAGGAATCACGATTAACTCGACCATTGTGACCTATGAGACAGAAGCAAGAAAGTATGGGCATATAGACTGTCCTGGACATAAAGATTACATCAAAAACATGATAACAGGTAATGATTGTTTTGGACAAATAAATGCAAGAAATACCATAAATGAATTTGCAATGTTCAGTGATGCAATCTATCCCGAATTTGCTCGATTAACAAGTACATACATTTAGCTATGTAACTAAAATTACCTACCATAGCTTTATTACCTACCTCAGGTAGCTTTATTTAGCTATTTCAAGGCAACTTTTCACAATTTTGCTTTTTATTAAAAAAAAAAAAAACCAAAAATCGCAAGTGAACAGGTGAATGTCTACAAATATTTATTCTAGGTATTATTTAAAAAGCAATCTAAAGCAGAGATAGTTTTAACATTGCTGCATTTGAACACTTGTAAGGAAAAGATGTATTTCCATTATTTGAGTAACTGTGCACCTCTTTGTGTGTGATGAGGCATGGATAAGTATGATTACTTCACATTGTGCTCATGTTAACCAAAACTGGTATTCTTTGTTATTTCACTCAAGAAGTAACTGTTAGGTCACAAATTAACTGTTGTATATAGCTCCACATCTCCAAGAGTGATTTTTTCATGAATTGTTTTCAGATGAGTTCAAAGTTGAAAATTATCGCTGCATCAAAGTGCAATTTTCTGCACTTTTTGGGAAAAATGCTAATTTAAGAAATAAGTTTGATTTAATAGCGAAATAAAGCTACTTCAGGTAGGTAAATAAAGCTATGTAGGTAATTCAAGCTACATAGCTTAATCTAGTGATTGTACCAGACCTGATTAAAGATGACCAAAAAAGTATCCTTATAACTGGTATATATACTTCTGAAACAATACTACTCTTACTACTACATGTATATGTTTATCTGTTTATTAAGTAAATTGAA